CACATAATTTACAGTACAATCACCAAGAGACAAATTTGCATGCATCAACCAATTAAATAAACGTGACATAATTATCCCACCATTGTTTTTTTAAAAGTACTTGTTGATCTAGACAAAATTCATTCACTTTCAAGTTTTTTTATATCATGGAGGTAAAAAGAGAAGGAGTCAGCCAAGCTTAGATCAAAGGTACCAGGATGGTCGCCGCTGTTTGTACATAGATCAGGGATTTTATTTGCCGAACGACCAAGGAGAAAAGTTTCACCTTAGCACAGTGAGGATTACCATGCATCTCTTTTTACCTCCATGTTTAATCCAGTTAGTATAAAATAAGTTTAAAAAAAAAAAGTGCCAGAAAAAAAGTATAAAAAAAAGTATAGAAGATGAGATTCACTTTCTCTTGGAATGTCTAAAACATCAAACATATTGAAAGGACTTTCTTTCCATTATTTTATTCCCAATACAAACCGACAACAATCTTCAGAAATTCATTTATTTAATGAAGAGTAGTAGCAAAAATTCAATTAAGCTATTGGTCGACTTTATTCACAATTCTTTTATTTTAAGAAATTTTCTTGATTTGTAATATTGACATTCTATTCTTTTTTTCATTCTTTTATTTTTCTAACTTTTTCATTTATTATCACATTGACATTTACTGACAGAAAAAATTGTATGTATAAGGATGCAATGAAGATTTTATTATTATTATAGGAATTCATAGTAAAGCAATATTTTATAAAAATTAAAAACAGTATTGGTCAGAATTTCCCAAAAAATCAAGACAATCATAAGCGTCCATCTTGTAACTACTAGTACGTAGTGTGTATGATCAAGTGAATCACATCAACCCAATTTCCCCTTTTGCTTTACTAACCGGTATATACATCAATACAGAGCTTTTTGACAAATGCCAGGCTTTATACTCACTAAACAAATGCCCAGTTTCTGAGTCTTGTGTTTGTGTTCAGTAGCATGGACTTCCTCTCACACAGTGACTGCAGAGATGCATTGTTGTTGTTTTTTTTAGTTTACAATGTGTCTTAATTAATTAGCACAATACCTAGCGACTGTCAAATTGTAATATATGAACTCTCAAGGTTAAAGAAACCATATATTCAATAAAATTGCTACACCATTTATGACAAAAATGTTGGATCTGACAAACATTACTTATTCAGCCACGATTTATCAGATTGATGACGCATATTACCCACTCATACTATCCTTTCCTGTCAACAGTCCTTGGTCCCAATGATTACAGACACAGAAATGAAGGACAGAACAACTCAAGCATACACATGTATTGAGAGAAAAGAAATACATCAGTTGACCTGCAGAAACTTACTTTTTACATCTAAAACAACCAGATCTTTTATTTACACTAGTAATTAAGATAGGAACACTGCATGGAACTGAAAGTTTTACATCCCCTTCAAGTGTCCAGTCGGCCATAGTAATAATAATTTTATTAACACTTACACATTCCCCGGAGGGATTGGCAATGGTTACAAAAGTTTAAAAAGGAATAAAAGGTGACAAAACAGAAAATAGATAAGAAAAAAAACAAGCAGCCTATCGGCTGAGATAGCTCCGCTGTTAGCAATGCACATTTCAATTAAAGAACTGAAGATATCATTAGAAAATGAACAATATGAATAGTATCAAAGCAATCGGACTTACAGTTTTTAACAAGAAGTCGAAAATATCACTTTTTACCAAAAATGACAAAAATATTCACCAAAATTAGAGAATTAAAGATATCATCACGAAATGAACAAATCTGAGAGAGGTCCACATGTAGTACCTATATATGTAATATCAAAGCAATCGGACTTGCGGTTTTTAACAAGAAGTCGAAAATATCACTTTTTACCAAAAATGACAAAAATATTCACCAAAAATAGAGAATTGAAGATATCATCACGAAATGAACAAATCTGAGAGAGGTCCACATGTAGTACCTATATATGTAGTATCAAAGCAATTGGACATGCGGTTTTTAACAAGAAGTCGAAAATATCACTTTTTACCAAAAATGACAAAGATATTCACCAAAATTAGAGAATTAAAGATATCATTACAAAATGAACAAATCTGAGAGAGGTCCACATGTAGTACCTATATATGTAATATCAAAGCATTTGCACTTGCGGTTTTTAACAAGAAGTCGAAAATATCACTTTTTACCAAAAATGACAAAAATATTCACCAACATTAGAGAATTGAAGATATCAACATGAAATGAACAAACCTAAGAGAGGTCTACCCAAGGTACATATACACCAAGTATCAAAGCATTCAGGCTTGTAATTTTCAAGAAGAAGTCGAAAAAGTAAAACA